GATAGCTAGCCGTTACTCAGCAGGAAACAACAAAGTGAACCCCTCTCCAAAAAGGATGAAAGGAAAAGACCAATGCCAGGGAGTGTCCTCTGACAGCCCCAACATGTTTTACATGCAAATGCACGCACACGCACACACACATGTACACGCACGCATGCACATGCATGCACGCACATCATCTTATAATGACAAATTCTGAGCATAAATATTCTGTGAATGGCATGTAAAATAGAAATGCCCGGACTCTCTCCTTGCTGCAGCACTACAGGAACATAAGACAGCAGACTCTCGCAGCTCTTTTATCTACACACACTGAGTTTGGCATCTTTCGGATTTTAGCTCAGCATACTAACAGTGTGTTTCTGTGTCACGCAGGTAGAAGTGAGAACCAGAGGCTCATTTACCAGCGTGATTTTTCCCGCTGTATCCCAATTAAAAAGACACCTGTGCTTTGGAACTTTCTGCAGATCCACTTTGAATGTGTAGTGTTTTGCGTAGACCTAACTTTTATATCTTATTCTATCCTTCTTTTAACCTCCTCTTTTCTTTCTTTCTTTTCTTTTTTCCCCTCTGTCCTACCCTTCTTCTTTTTTTCCTCCAATTTTCTTGTAGGGTTTTTGCTCTTTCCAAGGCTTTGACCTTCTTTCACGGTCTTCCATTATACCCATCTTCCTTTTGTTGAATTTTAAAAATATGTCTTTAGCTTACAGTTTTCTTAGTATCAGAAACTCCAAACAAAAATATTATCATTTATTTGCTATGGTCCAACTTGGGACATTTTATTGCATAGACATGATACATAATGAATCTCCTTTCTATGGAACATGCTTCCAGTCTCATAATAACTATTCCTGCTACTTAAAAAAACCCCACAAACCTGTCCAGTCATATACTATTTTCTTCAAGCTCTGCCTTCACCCAGCAACCACCTGGTTGGGCAGCACAGAGGCAGGGCCTTTCTAGACTCACACTATGCTGTTTATAAGGCAGCCCTGTAGAGCTATGCTTAGATCCTGTTACATTTCTACTTAGATCTTTATTTTATTTTTTCTATTTTTTGACATAATGGAATTTAATGAGCAGGAAAGTATGCTTTTAGTTTACGTTTTCAGAAGGACTTATGGCTAAACAGGATATGTAAAACCACATTTACCACACCCCCAAAAAAGCAAAGGCCCCATTAACAGAAGGAACAAAATGTCCCACCTGAATCATAACTAAAAAAAAAAAGTCTCTTAAAAAAACATAGGAAGATGTCAAACACTAAGATGCATTTTTCTGAAGTCAGCAAGCTTCCTACCTTTTGCTGATGCCCACCATAAGTTTGGTAACAAGTCTGCTGTGTTGGTCCTTTGTAAATCCCACTGCTCTGCTCCAGCAAGGGCGGGGCTGTGTCCTGAGACATCTGTGGACCAGAGGGGCTGGCAGGGACCACGGAGCTTTCTGTTGAAGTCAGTGCTCACAGCCAATGCAAGAACATTGGACCTGAGGCAACTACTTCCACGTATCATCGCCTTGTCAGGGGATATTTGAAGGATTCTACACAGGGGAGGGAGTACCTGCTTTAGAGAGAGTCAGTCTTCCTTGATTTTATCGTCTCTGTGGTATGAGAAAAAGATATATATATATATCTTTATATCTATCTATCTATCTATCTATCTATCTATCTATCTATCTATCTATCTCTATGTCTATCTCTATCTCTATCTCTATCTCTATCTATCTATATCTATATCTATCTATCTATCTATCTATCTATCTATCTATCTATATATATATATAGAGAGAGAGAGAGGGAACCCAGGACGCAAGACGGTAGTAATGAAGTAAGTTAAGTACTGTGGTATAGCACTGGTTGGCTTAGTTACTGCTAATTTACAATATAACAGATTTCTATACATTCAGAGTACACACGGTTCCTTCACTTTAAGAGAATTTAGTCTGTGGGTGAGTGGGTTCTGGACCTACCATTGGGGCACATCCATGATTCTTTGGGAAGTGTTTCGCACATAATTTGTGGTTAAGAATTATCCTCAAGTGACTTATTTAACAATGAATCAGGACAGAAGACTCAAGGTTATCCCTGTAGTGACTTCTTTCTCATTGGCTGCTGTTCCTATGCCATTTGTGAGCGAATGAGATGGTGGTAGAGCCAACTTCCTGGGGGATAGTATATAGCCTTAAACGTTTACAAAACCGTGTCCCACATGTGAAAATCAGCTGCCATGTATTCTACAGGAGGAACAAGAGACAAAGGCTGAAAGCCATTGCTTGAGGATTTAATTGTTAATATATTTATTTGTTCATATGCGGCTTCTTTTTAACCTTTATATAATAATTAACGAGTGTGATTTTTTTTTAATTACTCAGTAATAATGACAGATGAGGTCTCCAAAGATGTGCACTTGCTTTTCCTAGGGACAGGACATCAGTTACATACCTGGAAGAGTTGGCAAAAATGCACTCTCTGGTAACTTCAGTTTTGACTCAGAAGACAGATTACTGCGATGGCCAGGTGAATTTGTGGCTGGAAACTGTGCTCGGGGCCCCACGAAGAGTTGGTATTTGAAAGATGTGCTGCAAAAGGAAGCACTTATTAAAGTAGGTCCCAATGGTACCTGGAGTGGGCAGTTCCGACTGGACTTTGCTTTTGTAAGTTACGGTGCTTCTTGGTGGATGTGTCCAAGACCTAGAAACATTGTCATGTGACATTAGTTCACACACACAACAGCTTTTCTGGAAGTAACTCCAGAGAGACAAGACTCTCTTGCTTATATTGACCGTAGCTGTACCACCGACAGCGGGACCTGCTATGCAACGGAAGGACAACAAAAAATTGCTGAATAGAAAACCCCACTGCTTTCCTTCCAACCAGTCAGCCTCACATCGCCACCATCTTTGTCCAGGTCTTCTCTCTAAGAGCAGTTCAAAAGAGATCAACGGACATGAGGTATTGCTTTTCATTTTCCTAAGGGGGAGAGGAGAGTAAAATCAGACACCATTTTCACTAGCTAACACGATATATTTCTGGTTTCATGACTGACTTGGCAAAGGGAAAGCCCAGGTTGAACTGTTTAGGAAGATAAAGGACCCAGGCTTGTGTTTTGAAGACTGGGCTTTTACAAGTGGTTTCAAAGTTGATTGGGCACGTAAAGTCTAATGAAGACAGATCCTGGGAGAGCTAAGAAATTCTATCTGATGAGAGGCCCCGAGTGTGAACACACCACACCAGAACCATGTGGAAACAATAGCCGGCTGCTGGCAACAAAGGTTTCTGCATAACGAGAGAAGTGCCATTGTTCTTGAAGGTCCAATTTGGTAAGCAGCAGCCAGTGCTGACTCGTCAGGCCTGAACTCCAGTAACGAATTGCCAGCGTGCATTCGCTCTAGAGCTGGAATTCCCATCACAGAGCAAGCCACAGCGTCAGCCACCACTCAAACAGGTCGCTGAAAGGTACATTTCATCAGTAAGCAATTTAATACATATCAAAGTGACTTTACCCCAAGTGAGTGGCGATCGTCCGGCTACTCCGTGAAGTTCAACTGCTGGGGGAAATGAGTTCTGTTGTTTATTCCTCCCGTGAAAAGGTGATAATCTGTAATCCTGGGTATTTAAAAGTCGTTTCCTCAAATTCTGCAGCAAACAGTGTAAAAAAAAAAAAAGCCTAATATCTTTCTATCTTAATCACATTCGGTAATGAAGCCCTTTAGATAATTGGTACAGCTTCCTAGTAGGCCAAACTTTCTTTCAAGTTACAAACACTCACAAAAGGTTTACATTCGAAGGGACTGCTTTGGAGATGGGCAGATTTAGTTTGTAAGTACAAAGTGAACATGCAAATTGTCTTATCTTGGGGGATTCACAAACAACCGTCCTTCAGATTGATTTAATACATGTCTTTTTATCTCTGAAAGTGTTAATTAGAAAATAGGGACAGTTCTCTGAACACTTAAGAGTAATAAATAGATCAAAACAGCATCTATGCCTCTGTGATGGGACATCTGAAGGCTTTGTAAAGGGATTAATACAATTGTCAAAAAGCCCACAGTATACATATTTAATGGCGTTACCAAGCTACAGTTACATTTTTAGGACTTTACTGTTAAGCTCTCCCGTATCCGCGACGCTCAGGAAATTGACACTTTGTACAACTTTTGATCCACACTTGAAGTTCCCATCTTATTTTAATTTTTTTCTGCAGTGCAACTCCAAACACATGCCTGGGAAGATTTTAAAATGAGCAAATGTAATAATAATAATAATAATAATTCGGGGGAAAATGGGTGGTTGTATGGGATAAGCTAGCAAAAAAATTGAATTAGTATATTTCCACCTGAATGGAAGATACAGGGCCCTTTTCTGACACTTTCTTCTCACTTTGAACTTGATCCATAAAGTGACAAGCATGGCTACTGAGGAGTCAACTCAGCTGCCCCTGTGGGGCTTGGCGACAAAGACAACTGATGTTATGTATGTATTCTGGTTTGTTTGCAAAGTGGATGCAATCGTGGCATCTTCTTCTCGGGGGTCTCCTGGCAGGGATTGAATAAGATCAGGGTGAACAGCAAGTGTCCTAAAGTTGTGGCAATTGAGGGATTGCTGATAAACTCAGAGGATGATTCTCTATGGTTCAGGCAATGGGCCCTTACATTCATCACTGAAGTCTGAGTGGCATACCTCTATGCGTGTAAAAGGGACTAGACAAGCAACCCAGTCTCTGAGGGTGTGACTTGTCCTGTTTTTCAGTAGAACTAAAGAGGCCAGGTCACTCCTCTAGGTCACTGATTTTCTAATGACTCCATTTGTAGGTGTGTTTTAAGATATATATTTATATTTATAATAGAATTTAATTAGGATATAGAAGCATTCATTTACAGCACTCCTCAAGTGTTTGTGTTTTGCAGCTCATACCCACTTTTCCATTGCCTTTTTTCCTTCTCGCCCCACCTCTGGTCTCTCCTTCCTCACAAATCACTTTCCTTCTACTTTTGTATTTTAAGAGAATATTCTACAGCATGCAATTCTGCATGCCACCCTTGTACCGTGGCCATGCAGATCTTCTCTGTACTCTTTCAACTTTAGTATGCACGCTGCTGAAGTAAACACTCTTCGAACTGCATACTGTTTTGCCTTTATTAAATGTTTTGCTTTATCTAATAGAATATACAGATGGCAGAATCGTAAAAATATATAAAACCTTTTATAATGAAAACATCACTCTCTACCCTCTGAAGTTCCTTCTTTGTGAGGAGATAGAGTTGCCGGTTGTTTTGGAGGTTGTCTGAGCATCCAGGCTTTCCCTTTTTCTTTCCTTCTCACTTTTCTCAGTGACCCCTTTGGGTCCTTCAAACCATTTTCTTTTCCTGACCACATTTGCTAAGCCTACCACTTCAAATCCTTGCTTATGAACCCAGGAATTTCACTCCCTAGGCTTTGGGCTTCAAGGTCACCTTCCTCCATGCTCCCTGTCCAATAGCCTCTGCCTATTCTCTCTCTCTCTCTCTCTCTCTCTCTCTCTCTCTCTCTCCTCATTCCTTCAGGCAGACATCTACCTGCTTCCTGGGAACACCCAACTTCCTCTTCTTGAGATTCCTTTCCATTAACTGTTTTCTTTCCTTTCCCTCGAAGATAATGACCCTGTAAGGGAAAATTATGACGCACCAGTGGTTGGAGCCACTATAAGTTTTTTAGAGTTTACTCCCAACTCTGATTTTATTTATTTCAAGTGTGATGAGTTAGTTTGACACATGGGTTGGCTGGGCAAAGTATCACATGTCATGTGTGTGTCATCTATGGACTTTCTTCATTAATCTTGTACTTAGGAAAATCTCAAGACAACCATCACTCTCGTGTTACAGATGAAGGGACATATGTCCAGGATTGAGCAGTTTGTCCAAATTCCCACGCATCTAAGAAGCAGAGCCAGCATGTAAAATTAGCTTTCCAGCAGATCTGGCCAGGGTGCTCTGCAGCCTCGCCTGGCCTTCAATCCCTCAGCTGATTCTCATTTGACTCACATATGATGCCATCACTGGGTTATGTGGCTTGCTAATGTACTATGCGTATTAAAGTGTCCCAAATCTTCCTTTTGGAGGATTCTTCTTCCATGTCACATATCTGCATTCTACTCATTGCTGAGTTTTACACGAGAAAGAGCTGGCGGAGGCTCAGGGAGAAACACTTGTTAGGGGTTACAAGATGGCAGCTACAGAAAAAGGACAGAAACACAGGGCTTCGGACTCTGGCATTCTCCCTGCCCTGCCCTCCTCTGAGAAGCTTCAGCTTTAAATAAGTTCTTGTCCAAGATACCAAGCTCATAACCCTTTATCCAGCTCCTCCTTTCTCCTGGGAGGTGGGGAATCCCATAATTTCAAGAGTGACTCTTTTTTCCACTGCCTCTTTTGTTTATAGATGTTTTTATTTCCATTACTAAGGAACACTAACAGAAACACTCTGGACCTTGTTGTTTTCTTTTCTTTCTTTCTCTCTCTCTCTTTCTTTCTTTTTTCTTCTTCTCGGCCAACTCTTCCTCACCTCAGTGAAATTCCACAGAGATATTTGTACACACCTCCCCGCTCACATTTCACCCACCCCGGCTCTCAGAGCAGCAGCCCCTGAAGGGTCAAGCATCTTCATACACCAGAGACCACTCTGATTCTAGGCAGATGCCTAGCTAGCATCTCCACTCAGTGACTCACACTAAGCGTTTAGTCCCCTGCTGCTCTTTTAACCCTGAAATGTATCGCCCAGTTTCTGCCTCCTCACTTTCCTCTATGTCTTAGAATCTATGCTTTAGAATCTGCTTAGAAACCCAAACTCTGGTTTCTGGATCCTGCCTTGTTCCTACCACTGCCTATCAGCCTGTGAGATCCAATCTCTGTTATCCAGCCTCATGACTGGGGTTCTTCTAACTCTTGATTAGTGGACTTACTTACCTGTGCCTTAGGGGCCTCCAATCCAGTTTTGGATCTTTCCTTATGTTTCTCTGAAGAGAAGCTTAATTCAGATGCAAGGCAAAGGCCTCTCTGAATTTTCCCAATGTTTTGTTGCCTCAGTGAACCTTTTCTCCTCACAAATAGGTTGTTCTCATGGGAGGCAGACAGGAAAAGCCGGACTCCTCTACAAAGCGCAGGCCAGTGCGGTTAGCTGCATTTTGCTTGGGCCTATGTTGAGTGATTTCATATGTAGACTCTGCAGCAGCTCACGCCTGTGGTCGCTCCCACACTGACCCACCCCTTCCATCGCCTTGGCTAACAGTTCAGTACTGATTCTCTTCCTAGGTGTCTGGTACTGCTTCAAGACCCCCCCCCCCATTTTGCTATCTCTCAGTTTGATTTTCTTTAATTTCCACAGTTTCATCTCTGTATTAATATGGTTCTTAGTGATAAACATGCATTTATAGCGCTTCTGTAACCACTTTATGCATACATGTTCCACCTGGGTGACATGCATGTTGGTGTTGGCCCCTCTATAACAATTGATCATTCATGTATTACTGTAATAAATAAAATGATCGTTATTTCAGTAAAGATTAAGATTTGGGGCTCATAATCTATTTAACCTCTTTCTGTTTCTGACCTGACGCCAATTTCCCTTTGTTGATTATAGTGTGCTTTTCCCTTTTCTTTTTTCTCTCTTTTACTCTCTAGCACGTTGATAAATTCTTCATGCCCTCTTAGTTGGAAACTACACTTGGTCATATGAACTTTCCCTACCTTGGAATATTCTTGAGCTTGTCCTGACTTCATTTTCCTGTTTATTTACATTTAAAAACACATTTTATTTCCTTACCACCATGTATGTACATGCACACACCCACGCATAAATGCCGCCATTACATGTTTGAGGTCAGAGGTCAATTTGAGGGAGTCAGTTCTTTGCTCAGATAACTTTAGGATATTGTGTCTAGGGACCACAGTTAATGAAGCACATTGCAGAAAATGATGGCTGTATGGCAAAAATAGAGGCATTCTATTTAAAAATGATAATAATGTGTAGTTTAACTTGTAAAAGAGAAGATTAAGCAAGGAAGTAACCACCTCTACACATCTGTAACACTGTCATGAATGAAATGCTGTAAATACCCAGTTAAGAAGTAAAGACAGGGCAAATGGAACTATTTGCAAAAAGATATTATAAAAGAACTTTCTGGAAAGAGATCATCCATGCAGAACAGTGAGACTGAGCTTGAGTGATCAAGATTGTTTTAGCAGTGCTTTGTATAGAGAGATTGGACTTGATATTCACACACACACTCACACACACACACAAAGCTCTATAAAGTTTCTAAACTTTAGAAAGAAAAAAAAATCTCTTGAGCAGTCAGGAGCAATTTTGCCCTGACACACGGACATAGTAGACATGGCTTCTTAGTAAAACATTGGACAACTTTGTTTTAAACTGAAGTAGAAGCTGTAACAAGGTCAAGATGCTTTCTCCTGTCAGAAGACCGAATTGCATGAGAACTCGTGAAAATAAATATTTGGATGACTTTTCGAGTCTTCGTTTGGGATGTGAGCGGAAACACTGCATTCACTATGTAAGAGCAACGCGCATGTAAGCATGGGGCCTTCAGCATAGCTGTCTGTGCTAGAGCATTGCCTCCAGGCAACTGCAGTTCATCTGGGGAGGAGGTGTAAAACAGGTCAAAGGCACATGGCCGGCGTGACTGGGACACAAAGTCATACCGGTGCTGAGGAAGATGGAATCTCACTTCCTGAGGGACCATTTCTGAGCATCTGCAACTGACGGGGCCGCATACCTGCCGCCTCGCCCTGAAGTTCACCTGACAAGCTTCATGTTCACTGGGCTCCCTTCTTACCATGTCTTGGCTGCCTTCATCCCCATCTGCATTCTATTTCCTTTGCATACTGCTCTGATTCCACTCGTGGGTGCCGAGCCTTCTCAAGGAGCTGTCTGTCTCTGGCCCTCCATTTGTCTTCAGGTTGTCAATTGTAATTTTGATCAGAGTTGAGTTTTATTTCCCGCAGCTGCACTCCCAGTGGAACGATGTTCACTGATCTTCAATGATTCTCTACCCTGCCTCCTTGGACCCCTTGTTTTTCAGCCTAATAGTTTAACTGCTACATTCCCGGACCACCTGTTTTGGCTCTAGATCATACTCAGCTCTTTTTCTCCCAGGCTGACGTTGACGGCCCTGATGCAGCCTTCACTCCCTCCTATCCATGGAAAGATTACCTATAATCTTCTCATAAGTCATAGAAACAGTAGAAAAAGCATGAGCAAGTGTCATTTATCACCCGGAGAAGTGGGCATGTAATTACTTGCAAGGCTGCTTTTAGTTTACAGCATGGCTTTCTATTTCTAGCCTCAAACATTTTCCTTGCAGAAAGTTTTGGAGAGTTTGGCACATTTGCAAATGCCTTGTGCTGATGCTTCTGAAAAAATGAAGCACATCATTTCGGCATCGCAACTATCTTTAGCCAGAGTAGCATGCGCATTTGTACTTCAGATCCTCCTGGCTAGAATTTCAGCCAGTTTTCATTGTCCAATAAACCACAGTGAAGGGTGAGGTATTTTAATAGATAGTGTTTATATAAATTAATCTTTCAAATAGCCCTTAAAATTATGTTAATTGTTTTTAGTGTTATTTCTGGGGTCTGAACATTGAATTAATCTTATATCCATCATGTGTTTATTTAAGGGGAACAGTAGATGAATTTGGTATTTCAGATTTAACTTGTTCCTAAGTTAAAAAACTTTTTGCTTTTGAGACAGAGTCTCATGTAGCACATACTGGGCCATGAACTCACTATGTAAATGAAGTCAATCCTGGACTATCGATCCTCATTCCTCAGCCTCCTGCATGCTGAGGTTATAGACATGTGCCGCCACTCTGAGCCTCTTACAGAGAGTTGGAAAGACTTTCTTTCTTAAAGTTTAGAGATTTCTAAGTTTGAAAGCAGAGAGCCATGGAGCATTCTTGCTTCATCAAGTTACTTTGATTTTGTGAAAATATCTAATTAAAGCAGGACAGTTGATAAGATCCTTCAGTTCAGCTGTTCTAAGGCATGGCCCAATGAACTCATGTATCCCAACTTTATTCATGCTAGCTCTTCATGATGGCTAGCCACCACCATGCAAAT